TTGTAAAACACACACACACACACAGCATGAGAAATTACTGGGTTCTTTATTTATACCTTATAATAACCTTTATTTCTTGGTTTTCACAGGAAGAGATGACTGCATGAAGTGCTTGGAACTCATTGCTGCAGGACACAGGGAAGAACTGGAAAGTGTGGGTAGGCTAAGCAGACCAAGGGTAAAATTAGCCTTCGAGCATATGACTACCAGGAAAGCTCTGAACTACCAGAATCAAGATACCATGGGTTGTCATCAGGGAGTAAATCAGGCAATAACTCTTTTTAAATAAACTCAAGATAGGAACTATGTCCTCCATTCACAAATGTGGGATGGCAACCCAGCAGGTTCTATATTCCTGTAATCACTAAACCCCGTGTGCCAGTTCTAACATCTGAGTAATTACAAGGCATGACTGGGACAAATTTTATCCTCCTGATGGTCTTGCAAGGCACAAGGTTTGAGAGAACGGGACATCATTGTCATCAATCGCAGATAAGCCCCGTCTCCAGTTAGCATTGGTAATCCGTGGGTGACGGGACTCCGTGGGACTCTTGGCTCTCTCTTTTCCCTGTTTCTATCATAGAGGTAAACAGCCAGTGGAGGTGGCTGACTTTTCAAAGGTTGTGTCACAGAGCCTGAGCTAAAATTAAAAGGAGGACGCTAATGCTCATTTTGTGCTTACCAGTTGTCAGTTAAGCTTTGAAACTTAGGGATTTCTATGGTTTGTTACAAAAAAATGTTTACTGTGTACAATCTGATGGGAAAAGAGCAACAGGGAGGGCAGAGTGATTTATGCTAATCAGAGAGTTGGATGTTATCAAAAGGGCTAGAAGCCTGCAAGGTAAAAACATAAACAGTTATTCTCAGCTATCACTCAAAACCATCTTGCAGGTAGATGGAACTTCAAACGGGCTGCTGAGCACATATTTTTACTGGTATGCACAGATCAATGTCATCAAAGGGAGTCATCCCTCCAATACAAAGGGTAATTTAATAATATTGAAATTTCCTAATATTTGGGTGCATGTTAATTAGGAAAGTGTAGAAAATTTTATATTATAAATCAAATTTTTTATTTTTTATTTTATATTATTTATATAATTTACACTTATTTATATACTTTTCTAATTAGTAAAATGTGCCTGAGTGTCCTTAAATGCATTAAGATCTTGAGCAGTTTACTCGATAGTGGCTTTAGTTATGGGAAAAAATAAGAAGAAGCTTATCCCTGTTTGGAATTCAGAAGCTGCAGAACAGGTTTGTGGAGTAGAAGCAGAAGTGTAAACCTAAGCCAAGCACATTTAGTAATTTTAAAAATCTTTTCAAAACAGACGGATTTTAATTTCTGCAAAGTCTTTAAGGGACCAAGCCAGGAATTGATGAGTAACAATGAATAAGAAGTGAGTGAGTTGGATGCCAAGGATAGCTGAAATGACCATCAGATGTAGATTCTACTGACTGCCACAAACCACCCGGCTGACCTCAGCCAGTGAGATTAACAAACAAGATTAACAAAGACTTACTGGGAGTCATAGAAGACTTTGTGCATTGGAAGTAACAAAAAGATGAACAAGCTCTGGTTGCTGCCCACAAGAAGCTTACGAGCAGGTGAGGAAGAGAAGACACACAATCACAATGTCTGCATGGCAGAAGGGGACTGAGAGCAGACCACACGCAAGAACTCAGACCAAGGAAAGGCCCCCTTCGCCTACAGAGGGGAGAGTGTAAAGAAGGGTTTAATGGAAGAGTACATCTGAAATAAGCCATAAAGAACGGATATATTGCTGACAAGGAATCCTAAAGGCAGCCTTTCAGAAAAACTTGAAATGTGTAGTTACGTTTATGCCCCTCGGGCTGAATTCAGTACCCAGGTGTTTTTAGCCTGGACAAGAGCTCACCAACTTCACCTAATCCTCGGCACTGCCTTTTGGACTCACACCCACTGGCCTTCCTCATTTACAGCATTTGACTGTTCTGCAGATGTTTGTGTTTAGAGAGTCATAATAGAGAGTCATAATTATCAAGATAAGAAGTCTAGACAGTGTCTTCTAAGGAACAGAAAGAGCCAATTGAAGCTGAGTCAGGAAGCGTTGGGATCACAACTGTGCCTTAAAGAAATCGGGGGCAACACTGTGGGGGCCAGACTGAAAGAAAGAAGGGTGGTGGCCAAGAGAGACAGACGGTAGTGGAGAGGCAATAATCTGGAGAAGGGACAGTGAGGACCTGTGCAGAGGGCACATGGGGGCAGAGGGATGGAGACCAAGGGGAGATATGGATTTAAGAAATGGTTCAGAAATGACTTGATAGCCGGATAACCTAGTGGGGGGTGGTGTGTGTGAAATCCATGATTAACTTAAACTTTATAGCTTCAGTGTCCAGGTGAATGTTGATGTCACAAACAAAGAGAATAAAGAAAAGGAACAAGGGGCGCCTGGGTGGCTCAGTCGTTAAGCGTCTGCCTTGGGCTCAGGTCATGATCCCAGGGTCCTGGGATTGAGCCCCGCATCGGGCTCCCTGCTCAGCAGGAAGCCTGCTTCTCCCTCTCCCGCTCCCCCTGCTTGTGTTCCCTCTCTCGCTGTGTCTCTCTCTGTCAAATAAATAAATAAAGTCTTAAGAAAAAAATAGTAAAAAAAAAAAAAGAAAAGGAACAAAATGGATAAGGCAGATAATATATTCAAGGGAGGGATATGGTGAGTCTGAAGAGCTTACAGGGCACTGAAGTAGAAAAGTCTAGAAGAGTTGTTCTCAACCAGGGTCAATTTTGCACCTCCCCTCCTGCCACACACTGGGCATGTTTAGAAATGTCCAGAGACATTTGGGGTTGTTATCACTGGGGAGGAGGGGTGTTATGAGCCTCTAGTACGTAGGGTTCAAGGGTCCTGCTAAACATCCTAAAATGTATGGAACAGTCACCACAAGAAAGAATGAACCTGCTAAAAATGTCAGTAGCACAGACACTGAGAAATCCTAGTCTAAAGGAAGTGAGAACTTCCAATCGAGAATTGAAGAAAGTAGGAACAGAGGGAAATGAGAAATTTCACTCATTCACACTGCAGTAAGAGACTTGAGAGAACATTACCTACAATGAAAGTATGTGGGAAAGGAAGAGAAGCAGGTGGTGGACAAAATCCTAGGCAATATCAATACCTCATTAGCAAAATGAGTTCTTTGGGGTGGAGTAATGTCACAAATCATTTCACATTTATTTTTTAAGTCAACTCTACCCCCAACATGGGACCCGCATTCATAACCCCAAGATCAAGAGTTGCACGCTCTACTGACTGAGCCAGCCAGGTGCCCCAACCCTTTTATATTTAAAATGCCATGACATGATGACTGTTTTCAAAAAGTGTGTACTCAGAAAGATAGATATGAATGAAATGGGGAATCATGGAGAAGATCAGTAATGAACGAACATCCTAAAAAATTAAGCATTGAAGATACATTCCAGTCTGTAGCAGGGAAGGATTGTATGTGGTCTGCAAATCTGTTATAACTTGGTCACAGAACCACACAGCTGTAACACAAGAAAGAAGAAGTTGGAGGAGGAGGAGGGGGGGGAAGAGGTGGATGAGAAGAAAAGAAGGAAGGAAGAAACAAAGGAAAACAAAGAAGAAGAGGTGTGGAAGGGGGAAAATGGCAAGAGAAACAAGGGGAAGGGAGAGAAGGAAAGGAGAACAGTAGAGACACCTCTAAAAGACACAGAATACAGTGCGAGCGAAGTTCTAAAGAACAAGACTCATAGCCATCCTCGAAAATTTTGCCAAACTCTAATATGGGAATCTATTCCACGAACAGCAAAATCTGCTCCTTGAACAGTATCATCACTGTTTTTCAAAAGCTATCTAACACAAAATGACGAAATAGTAAGCAACACCTGTACAATTCTCTAGTACTTAAATAAATTTTGCTGTCACTCTGCTCCACTAGGGCTTGCCAGAGGTCAGGGGGCCTGGAGAGGGACAGGAGATGGGGAGGTAGTGGGGCGCTCCAAAGTGAAGGAATGTGGAAGGATGCATCATAGCCACCTTGGCAGCCTTAGACTGCTGAGCAAAGGCAAAGGAAGTTTGCGAGAAACAGCTAGAAGATGGTCTTTTCCCATTCAAATTGTTATGTGGCCCACAAATACTAGGTATGCCTGGAAACCAAGAGAGGCATCACTGACCCAGAAAGAGGATGAAGAACATGTGCACAGGACAGGCAGTATGAGTATTGAGCCAGATAGATTTTGAATTCCAAACTTGGCTCCACCATTGGCTAGTTTGATGCTGTTTGCGAGTAGCAGAATGGCTCTGAAACTTAGCTTCTTTCTGGTCAGGTGTGAATGGTGGGCTTCCCAGGCATGCTGTGATGTTTAAAGGACATCATGGATGTAAAGCGTCAACCCAAATAAAACACATTAAATAAGGTTGCACATTTGAAAACAAAAATCTTCACTTCTGTAAATGAACAAGTAACTTTTATGAATTGATAGAACTGGGAGTGGCCTTCAGAATGCTGGTCAAATTTCCTCCTTTAGCTGATAGGAAAATTGGAGAAGGAAATGAAGAGGCTATTGTGGTTTGGATGTATGTGGGCCAAAAGAGACCTTAATTAAAGGGAGGTTATTCATTTTTTTAATATAAGATGAAGGTAGAGTTAGAAAATTAGAGTCCATAGTTATATAGATGTATATATGTGTATATATGTGTATATATATACAAACATACATTTTATATGTATATGTATATACGATATACAAATTATATATGTGTATATTAGAAATAACAGAACTTCTCTGAGGATGCTCTATTATGATGCCTAGCATCATCCAGCAGAAAGTTGTCCTTAACTTTCTGTGAACTTCACTAGACTATATCTCCCACATTCACCCCTTCGTAAAGTAAATATATCTCATAAAGTTCTTGGGTGCTTCACAGAGTACCAAATAAAAGAGTTTTAGGAATAAACTGGTGATTATAAAGGATATGCTTCCCCCAAGCTACAGTCAGGTCACTTACCTGTCCAGGAGCAAGTTAGGAGCAAATAGGAGCTTCCCTGGGTGCTCCATGGAGCGCCAGACAAGTCCAATCATCAGGATCTCTAGCCAGGCACATTCCAGAAGGTGGACTTGATCATGGAGGCTCAAATCGACAAAGCCTAAAACAAGACAAGAAAACCCTGCTGACTTAAAATGAAAAGTCGTCATTACCAATGAAATGAATGCAACGAGGCATCTATTTCCTATTAGATGGTATGGCATGTAATGGAAGCACACTGGATAGGAAAGTTAAGTAACTATTTCTAAATCTAGTATATCAATGAACATTAAGGTAGCAGTAAGTTTCTTGGTGCCTGAGTGTCACATCTATAGAAATATACTAATTTATACAACCCACTTGGCTTTTTATAAAGTTCTATACTTAGTGTTAAAACTTATTATCTTAGACATTGTTTTTTACTTAGACATCTCTAATAGCCCTATGTGATTACTATATTTCATTTCTGATTCAGTTGCAGATATTTAGGTATAAGAAATTTAAACTGTTTGCCTTAAACCAAACAGGAATTAGAGCACAGGCAAGAGCAAAGTCACTAAATTTCTATTTCTTTGTTTCATCACTAAGCCATGCTCTTTTTTTTTCACACCATGTAAAAGAAAGTCTAATGAAATAGCATGTGTAAATAAATAACTTGGGGGAGAATGAGTCAGATGAATAAAGTTGACACTATAATTACTTCTAGTAATAAATACTAATGTGCCCTTGTTTGATAAAGGCTTTAATAGGAGATTAAAGTTTTTCCTAATCATTACTGACAATATGGCAGATGCCTAATGATAATAATAATAACAACAACAATAAGCAAGAGGAGGAGAAGGGGAAAAGGGAGAGGAGGAAGAAGAAGAAGGATGAGGAGGAAGAAGAAGAAGCAGAGGAGGAGGAGGAAAATGGCCAACTTATTGAGCCCTTACTACAGTTTTGAAGTACTAAACAATTAGCTGATCATTTCTGATACATGGATGGGCCATCCTTACTGCTAAGTAGGTGACTAACCATATAGAGAAACCCCAACTAGAGAAAGACCTCAGAGTCTATGCCCCCTGGGAGTCATCATTCCCTAATCAAACCTCACAAATTCTATCTTTGAAGTAACACTAAAATTCTTCCTCTCCTTTCTATAGTCCCATTGTTACTATTTTAATTTAATTCCTAAGAGTCATCTTTCTGACTTTTGTAAATCAACATAATTATTTTGAGACTTACCCATGGTCTTCCATGTATGAATAGTTGATTCTTTTTATCGCTGAGTGGTATTCCATTGTATGGAAATATACAATAAATAAATACAATTTGCTGATCCTTTCATTGGACATTTGGGTTGTTTGGGGCTATTACAAATAAAGCTTTTATGAGCAATCTATGTACTAATTTTTTGTATGAACATAGGCTTTCATTTTCGGGGGGTAAATACTTAAGAGTCCAATGGCTGGATCATACAGTAGGCATATATTTTGCTTTTTAAGAAACTGCTAAGTTGTCCATTTTATATTCCCACCAACAATAGATGAGAGCACTAGTTGCTCCACATCCTCACCGATACTTGGTATGGTCAGTCTTATTTTTTTTTATCATTTAAAAAAATTTTTTTATTTAAATTCAATTTAGTTAACATATAATGTATTATTAGTTTCAGGGGTAGAATTTCTTTTTAATTATAGATATTCTAGTAGATGTACAGAGGTATCACACTGGCTCTGTGGTTTTAATTTGCATTTCCCTAATAACTAATGATGTTGCACATCTTTTCATGTGCTTCTACCAGATCATTATCATACATTGTATTGATGTTAGTTACGCATTTATATGTAAATTCTGCTAGGCTGCATATTCATCTGAAGCACCAGATGCATGATTCTATTAAATTCTGCTTTTTAAAACCAATACTTCTCGCACCTTCTCCTACATCAATCAACCGTTCCAAGGACCATAACAGTGTAGACTTTCTCAGAACAGGTATTGGAAAAAGTGAGTTTCACTCATTTAAAGCAGGGCTTGCAAGCGGAGAAAAAATGGGTAGCTCTGTTCATTAAAAAAGAAACAAAACCCAAAATATTAAAACACAGTGACTGGGTTTCAGGCCTCCTTGATAGAAAAAGGAACAGGTATCTGTACAACCTACAGATATTTACCTCTGGAGTACACTGGGTTAAAATGGACTAACCTTGTTCTGGAAGAAACAGTGCCTGAGGCAATAGGAAATGTTTCTTTTTCTCAATACCCAGTGTCTAATGGGATAAATTGACTCCAGTGAGCAGTACTTAAAAGGAAAGCTCTCAAGGAAGTTTTAATTCTCTAAGATTTTACCCCGATCTTTTGGGTAAAGCCTCAGAATAGCAATGTAAATGGACACTGTCAATTAAGCTCACTTTCAGAAATACTAACATTCAAAAGTGATGTCTTCTGGGATGCCTGGGTGGCACAGTGGGTTGAGCGACCAACCCTTGGTTTCTGCTCAAGTCATGATCTCAGGGTCGTGAGATTGAGTCCTGTGTTGGACTCCACACTCAGCATGGAGTCTGCTTGAGACTCTCTCTCTCCCTCTCCCCCTCCCCCCGACACTCTCTCTCGCCCACTCTCTCTCTGTCTCTAAAATAAATAAATCTTTTAAAAAAGTGATGTCTTCTTTCATGACATTCACTGTTTTATATGGGAAAAAATACAATCATGTGATAATGTCATCCATGATGACACGTACACCATGTTATTCAATACCCTCCAGAAACCTCAAACACTCACACAGGATGAGATTGGGGAGTACCTTTTGAGAGAACCACAGCTGGTCACACAACCATTCAATTTTGGAAAACCAAAGGAGTATTTTCTGGTAGTAACCTTACATATTAAACTGAATCATACTTTTTAATTCTCGCTTCAAAACTTTAGTGCAGGGCACCTGGGTGGCTCAGTCATTAAGCGGCTGCCTTCGGCTCAGGTCATGATCCCAGGTCCTGGGATTGAGCCCCGAATCGGGGTCCCTGCTCCACGGGAAGCCTGCTTCTCCCTCTCCCACTCCCCCTGCTTGTGCTCCCTCTCTCCCTGTGTCTCTCTCTGTCAAATAAACAAAGAAAATCTTAAAAAAAAAAAACAAAACCTCAGTGCTATTTAAGTCTGACACTTTTAGTGGTCTCTTGGGTGCCTCAGAAGCTCACCATAACCATTTGTACCACACAAGTCTGGTGATTATGAAATCTGTCTGAAGTATGTCTGTTAGCAATAGTTTTCAGTCTGGGTCTAGCAAAATTGCCTGGGCCTTCTGTTGAGATGATGTAGATCTCTCAAAAAGAAATAGTCTCTTTAGTTATCTTTCCCAGCTGTGCACATTGCCTTCAGACAGGGTTATTATATCTCTTGCATAGTGCCCTTTGCAAGTTCCTGGGGCAGGGATGGCAGTGGAGGCGCAAAGATGACTATCAATCAACCTTTCCTGATGAATGTGAAGGCCACTAAAGACTGTCCATTAAAGACTCTAAATTCATAGCCAGTGGAGATCAATAAGGTACTAAATCCCAAACAAAATTATATTATCTATCAATAGACATCAAGTTTCAATCCTTAGCTTTTTCCTTATAAACAAGAGGAATGATCCAATGTGCAGTTTCAACTGGATCTGCTATAATAACATAAAGGTATTCCACAAGGCCTTTCTCGAACACTTGAAAGTGTTGCCAAAATGAAGATGGGAGGGAGAAGCATTTATGGGATACGAATAGAGGCATCAGTGACAGATATTCTTACAGGTGACATAGTGAGAGACGATTCACCTCCCATCACTTGGGGATTCACATCTTAGTGACAGGGACAGTGACAAGGGGCCCTGGGCCTGTGGAATCCACACCAGTGGGACAGAATGCATACCTAAAAAGTAGTAACAAGAGTTTATTGAGACCAAAGGAGATCAGATATAAGGAAATCTCATTTTATAAAATAGAATTTTAAAAGAAAGCAAACATGGGTCTTTTCCTCTAGCCCACATTCACAGATCGAGTAATAGAGTATCTAGAGATGGAATATCCTGGAAGACAGAAATGTCTCACCTCCTACTCCCCACCCACTAGGTGGGCAGGGATCTAATGAAGTTGAGGGAGGTCTCTTTCACAGAGAAATAACCCCTTATGCATACAACTGACTCATTATCTCTAGCTTCATCACCGCATAAATACATTCCTGCCTTCTGTCCTCCATTATAAAATAACTGTTTTTCCTCCAAGATTTTTATCTTAGTTTTAACTGTGAAAGAACCTCATGGCATGTCCTCCTCTTTCCCTTGGGCCTCATGAGACCCTAAACCCTCTTCCCCCACTCTGTTGGAGCCTGCCAGACAAATTACTTAATTTGCCTTGGCACACAGGAAATCCTTCAAGCCTCACCCTCCCTTATGGGGTATGACGTGGCTCTTAGAAATGACATTGAAAAGTGTGCTGAGATTCTTAGGCAAAATGACTATTATAATATGAATGCTTGTGAAGTTCTGCACTGCAGTGGGGTAAAAGGTAAATCACAGTGGCTCTTCAGGATAAGCATGAGGAAAAATAAGCACTATGGTAATTATATTTCTTATTTCCATGGGATAAATCTATAGAGAGGCAAAGTGAGGAAGAAACCTTGTGGAAGAAAAAAAGCAACTAGAAACCAGGTGGTTGGTTCCCTTAGTAAATCCACTGGAAAAAATACTAGTTTCCTGACCTTCAGAAAAAATTAATCATGTTCTCAGTCATATGATGACCCCAATGTTCTCCAAAATGTCACTTATGAAATTGCCTATTAAATGCTTTTTGTATTGCTTTAACTCAATGGGAGAAGATTTAAATAATTCATCTCTTCCTCTGGATGCCAAAGACTCAGTGAAGAAGGAGAAGATGAAGAAGAATGAGAAGGAGGAGGAGGAGGAGGGGAAGAAGGAGATGAGGAGGAGAAGAAAGGGGGGAGCAGAAGAATGGAACATGAGACTATAGCATAAAGACAGCTACAAGCTGAACAAAATTGGGGATTTCTGGGAGAAAGCCTACAGAACGGATAATACCAGAGGAACCTAGATCCCAGTTCAAATGCTGAGCAGTCTTCATGCCCTCCATTTGTAATATTTTTTCTTTTTTCTCC